ATTTGCTCCGGTAGCCAAGCCAACTACTTTGAGAATGCTTCTTACCATAGCAGGAAAAAAGAAAAACATTATGATATCCAATCAGCATACTTAAATGGAGATTTATCTCATGATATATACATGAAGCAACCTCCCAGATTTTTAGAAGGTGATAAAGTTTGAACACTTGTAAAGAACGTATATGGACTCAAGCAAGGTGCGAATGAATGGAACAGAAAACTTAATGAAATTCTCTTAAGCAAAGGATTTGAACGAAGTCAAAATGTTCCTTGTTTATATACAAGACAGGATAAAGAAGGGTTTGCATACATCGCTGTACATGTGGATGATATGGTCGTTGCAGCAAGCACAGAAGATTCACTTGAAAATTTTGAAAGCGAAATTTGTGAACATTTCTCAGTGAAAAACTTGGGAAATCTTCATTACTATTTAGGCATGCGTTTTCAACGTGACGACGAGGGAATCTTCTACCTAGACCAATCAAGCTACATTTCGAGAAAGCTGAAGCAGTATCACATGAACGATTGTAAAACATCTACGTTTCCTATTGATCCAGGATATTACAAGCAAAGGAAAGATGCAAAAGTGTACAGTAAAGTTGAGGAATATAAAAGTGCAATAGGATGCTTACTGTACCTAGCAGTCAATATTAGACCAGACAATATTAGACCAGCTGCAGTTTTCATCTTAACCCGAAAGGTGTCAAAACAAACGGAAGCTAAATGGATCGACGTCAAAAAGCTCTTCAGATATTTGAAGTTAACCAAAGATCTTAAACTGCGTCTGGGAAATATTAATGAGAAGAAAAACAATTCATGGCTATCTTATGTGGATGCTGATTGAAGAAATGACCCTACCGATAGGAAATCCAACTCCGGATATTTCTTTAAATATCAAGGCAGTGTATTTACATGAAACTGCAGAAAACAACCGTGTGTGTGACTTTGTCGTCAACAGAAGCAGAATTTATAGCACTTGCCGAGGCAGTTTGGCTCAAAAGACTTTTGCAAGATTTCCATAAAACGGACACCATTTGCACTTTTTATGAGGACAACTAAAGTTGTATCAAGATGTTAAACAACGAAAGTGACAGTGGAAGAACTAAACATATAGACACTAAGACCATTTTGGTTAAGGATCTTGTTAAAAGTAAAAATTACCAACTTCGATATCTGCGCACTGATGAAATGACTGCTGACATTTTAACAAAGCCATTAGGACTAAACAAACTAATAACTTTTAGGCAAAACCTTGGATTATGTTGAAAGTGTAATTTCATATTATATGTTGATTTATTGTTTTTTAATGATTTTGATCTTCAATGATTTTGAGATCTCCTGTGATAATATGTTGGTGAAATGGATCTACAAATTTATTGTAAACAGGAAGCTCGCAATTTCATATGCTATCATCTATTACGTTGTGGTGGTTAATGATCAGTTGACCTATAGTCTTTTCAAATTGAAGTTGTTGATCAGGGAGAAATTGTTGACATTTTTTGAACATGCATGGAATTTTTAACTGATCATAATAAGGGTGCTTGAATTGTACAGTACAAAATATTTTTTTGTGATAAAAATTACTATTCTTTAATTTAAAATTGCAAAAGTCTATTATTAGATCTTTGACTATTTGGCAACATTGAGATTGTTGATTAAGTCTCTTAATAAGATTCCATAAGGTGACATTTTTAAAAGTATGTAGAAGTTTAATGGTCTTTTTATCGAAAGCTTTATTTCCAAGGAAGGAATTTAGATTTTTAATAATTAATTCCAGATCTTGGGCGGAAAAAAAAATTGTGGTTAGAATTACCTCCTCTTGCACCTCTGGGAGTTACAGTTCTAAAAAATCTGAATTGTCCATATGTAGGCGCTTCTGACTGTCTATTGGTGGTATTGCTGAGATTGGCATTAAGTCCGTAAGGATAAAGTGACCTTTTTTGTAGTACGTAAATGGATTCTTTAAATAGTCTTAATTTTAAATCAGGCACAATCTCAAGCACACTAATCTCAATGTTATCAAAATTATGTATTTGAAAGTGCTCAAGAATTGCTGTCCGTTGTTTATCATTTGTGAGATTCATGTGGCAATCTTTAAATTTTTTGATATGAGATCTATGGTTATTAATTCTGAGGTTGAGAGGGTTTTTAGTTTGACGTATATATGTAAGGGAACGTTCCTTACATCCACTGGTCTTTGGCTCGTCCTTTGGATGTGGTTCGTTATATTGCAGTTTTTTTTTTTTTTTCCGCGGAAGGACTTCAAAGCTGATAGCAACAAGCGGCACAACTGCCCTTCGCAGGTATAAAAAAGGGTTGGTAGAGCATCCATTATTTCTAGCAATAAGGGATTAGAGTCTTAAAATTCAGGAACTGAAAAACATGAAGGTAACTGAAAAAAAAAATCATATAATAATATTTCTTTAGCAGAAATGGAATGTATGCGAGTCCATGATAAAACACATGAACTCTTTAATCTCAGATAATGTACATAAATGTTAATATGAAGTTAGAAAAACGTATTTTATTAAGGTTGTAAATAATAGCAGAATTGTTGGAAGTAAAAGAGGAATTATTCATTGTGAAAAAATATTCGTTAGTTGAATTATTTGATTAATAAAGTGTAACTGTAACCAAAAGGAAGAAAATTAAAAAAAAAAAAAAAAAAAAAAAAAAAAAAAAAAGTTTTTATAAAATAAACTTTCAATTTAACGGTAAAATAATTAGTGAATTAAAATGAGAAAAAATATGTATCATACAGTTTAATGGGAAGAAGAGTTAGTAACTCCAAAATTCATCTACAATTTTACATCATGAATAATAAAAACGTAGGGAGATGTTGATAAATTTATAAAGATAATAGTTTACTTTTGAAAATGCAATTCTTATTCGATCTCGTTATTTAGGCGCCTTCGCTTTTATTATTCGTGATATAAAATTATGAATGAGTTTTTATAAAAATAATTATTTAATCTCTTGTTCACATTAAAATATGATAAATCATTTTTCTCCTTTAGGTTCATTAATTATTTTATGAGTTTAAATAAAATAAATTTACACATTTTTTAATTAAAATTAAATTAACAAGAAATTAATTAAATTATTCTATTGTTACAATTTTTGTTCATTCTGCTTCATCCACGGGAGATGTGTACCGTTGCGGAGAGCCAGTATATAGCAGTGGCGACATCTGGTGGTCTACTATTTGGAAGCAATCCGCTGACCGTAAATTTACAACAATTTATAATCGTTATGCACTCCTAATCAAGTATAAGGATTATACATGGAGTGAAATTTTGATTATCCATCAGATTTGGTATCGTCATCGAGACGGAGAAGGTTAAATAGACGGATAACAGAAGTTCGCACTCCCGCCATGCCTGCCAGATAGCGGAGGCAGCCACTAGCGAAGCTTCCATTTTAGCACATCGAACAGAAAAGCGAAGTTCAGATTTAAAAATTAGTCAAATTATAACTCATTAACTAGCTTACTATTAATGTAGAGGGAAAATCTAATATTTAACATAAATGCAATACATTTTCAAGCTACAACATGATAAATATCAAATATCTTTTACTTTCTTAATATGCTTTAATTTTTAACATAATTAATATAAAATGTTACAGTAGCCAAAAGCTGTGTATAAGAAACTTCATTATACTGTTTTAAGTATCACAACAATACTTTGTCATTTCAGATATTGTAAATTAAAATAACAACGCACAATTAAAATATAGGCAGCATGTGAATATACCACTAAACATGTCAATGTTGAACGCTTACGCCAATGAGCGTATATCCCACTTTATTTTATTTATTTATTTTGCCGCTGTGTTACTATCTTATTTCGTAGAAGTAGCTGTTATCTTCTTCCCCTTCTTGCAGCTCGAGTAATTCAGCAAATATTATAAAATTTTAACTGCTCTGTGGCTAATAATTTTCAACGATTATCGATGGCAGCCTCTCTTCGTCTTCACTTTCATGCACGGACTGCCGGAAACAGAGACGCTGACTGCTTTGATAAAGATGCAGCTGCTGGCCCGACTCTGAAATTATAAACACAAAATGATCTAAGTCATAACTAAAAAAAGTGGTTAAGTTTTGTTGTTTGACTTCTGAATCAGTAAAAAAAGTGGTATTCAAAACATTAATAAGATTTGGTAGAATGCGTGGAACTCTGCATCTCAGGGTAAGTAAGTATTAGGCTTCCCTGTATTCGCGAGACTTAACCACATATACAGGTCCACCCACCCCTCAGAACCCGGCGCAGAGGTTCAACCTCCGCTCTGGCCCCTCAGAGAGGGTGGCGCACCGCCTGGGGATCACTGGTCGTTAATTTGCTACCTACCAGTCGGTAGGGCTGCTCGTCGCAGCGGGACATTACCCAGCGTACCCGAGGACAGTAATAGGCACAAAACAGCGTCTCGCTAAACGCTTATTTAAACCAATTTATATCTACATACGACGCCTTCTCCCTACTATGAGCGAAACAGCTCTTTCACAGTTAACTGCATTTGCCACGAAAGGGACCTACCAGAGCACTACCTCTTCTAGTATTCACTAACATCACAGTATTATACCAGCCACGACTAGGCCCAAGATACCAAAGTATTTGATGAACACAGTAAAACTCCATAAACTAGATCAACTAAACTATCAAGTACCTTTCAGAACATGGCTAAGATATGTGGGTAACTGTCATGAAAGAAGTTCTTATTTTAATGTAGGTACTCACGGAAAGTAAAAAACTGCATAATTTATTTGAAATGTAGCGCGGAGATTCTGCAGGTTGTATACTGATTGCGAGGCGATATCTGTATTAGCAAATGATAAAATCCCGGTGTCCCGTATGATCGACATTCTTATATTATTCTTCTTTCACAGAGTGAAGATGGATTTCTTTCTCCTTTCCTAGCAAAGTTTGTATTGATACTACAAAGTAATTTAATTTTGTCTGTTTTTATTCTGATTAATTTTGTTACACTTTTATATCTTTTTAGAAGCAATAGACATGACGGATGAAGATTATGTTGGAAGCTCTAGTCCTCCGAAAGTGCGGCAACAGCATGTGGATCCCAAAATGATCATAATTATGGTTGTTCTCGCAGTCATGTTTGTTGGGATTTGTGTAGCGTTACATCTTTTCAGCAGGTAAAGTTTTTATGTTTGTTTGCATTAAGTTAAAAAAAAAATCCTTGGAAGTTTAATTATAGTGTTTTTGTAGGGATTTATGTAATATTGAACATTTCTTGGGATTTGTGTAATATTGAAATTTTTCGCAACTACAAATTTGTATGCCTAATTGGATAATTTAAATATGTATCTTTAAAACTGCAAAATGAGTTATTAATGACTATTTTGGATAAAATGATACTGATACTATTGGGCAATAAAATGTTACTGAAAATTGTTTTTAAATGAACTTATTTTATTTTAACGGTTCTTGAATAAGAAATTTCAGAGTTTTTTTTATCAGCATAGTGATTATCTAAGAATATATTGCGAAACTAAATATCTGTACTTCTACTCTCATGAAAAGGTAAAAATACAGTAACGAAATTGAAGGGAATATAAAAATACTGCGTCATAAATGGAAAGTGTGTCCAATCTATTGGGGCGCGAGCCAAAAGTTTTGAGAACCATCGATCTAACATACAGCAGTTGATGATCTTCTGCTTTTGGACATGCATTATGCAATTTAAAATCTTTTATTTACAGAGAAGTTTCGTTGACTGGAAGACAGATATTAACTGCAGCTGGAGTCAAAATTAGAAAGCAGATACACTAAGTACTTTAAGTCTTAAAAACAAAATATAGTTCTAAATATAATTAAGAAAAATTTTACTATTTTAATATTACTAAGAATTTTTACGTATTTTAAATTACTTTCAAATTAATAACAAACTACCTTCGTTTTGTGAGGAAAAGCGATTTTTTAAAATAATAATTTCAAGAGAATGTCTTTCTTAATATAAAATTAAAGGGTAATAAATATTCTAAAAACAGAAGATCTTTTTCTAAGACGTTCAAATGATATTCAGCAGTCAAACCAGAAAATTGCAATAAATTATGGCTTAACTTTCTATTAATTCCAGAACGGGTGGAACCATGAGGCGAATCATGAGAAACTGGTGTTCTTAATGATGATAAGAAGTCGCTCAAGATAACAAAAATGAATTTATTAGATCGATATAAGAACTGGAATTGTGTTCTGTTTTCTTTTCTGTTCTTTACTGTAGTAGCTTTGGTCTGTCTTAAACTCTGAGAGATTTTCATGATACTAAATACGAAATTGCATTCATTAATCATTTTAAGTGACAAATGCGCTTCAGAAAGAAAAATAAAGAAGAAACGTATCATAAAGTCTATTCATTAAGAGAATCATTACTAGAGCATAAAAGCAATTTATAATCATTATTAGTAAATAAATACACTTGTAAACTGGTAGGAGGTTTTGAAATTATTTTAAAGCAACAGTATTTGAATCGTTTTTTAAAAACTTGTACTTTACATTAACTGAGGATAAAATTATGCCCAATAATAATTAAAATGCAATTCTTGCGTAAAGGTATTGATATTACGTTTTAACACACATGCTCTAGTTACAATTTAGTACCATACGCTAAACATACATTCTTAAATGCGGCCAACCAGCGGCTGAGCGGTAAAATCGCTGAACGCCCCAAATCTGGGCTCACGGGCTGGCTGCATGGACATTTTCGTGTTTTTCCCCATGCGTAACGTATATAGAAGGCAATTTCCCCTAGAAAATCCTTCACGAAAGCATTACTCCTCTAGGCAGACAGCCCTACTGTGCTTTGACATAATAAACTAAACTAAACTGCTCTAAAATGTAAAACTGGATGAGAAGGCAACCTTAGATTGGCGAAGAGTTTTTTTAGAAAACTATGCAATCCGAGAAGAGTTAAGTCCCTTTTTTGGAAACAAAACTGTTGGAGTTTGAAGACGAATAGCTATACTAAGTTTTACATTGGCGGTATATATCTTTCAAATATGTTCTTTAATATTTTTGAGTTTTCATTTCGAAAAAACAACTTTGAAGCAAAGCTTTTCGTTTCATTTCCGCAGCAATAAGAGATACTTGTTTTCATTAAGGATTCATGTGCTTAAAAATAGAAAAAAAATCTTTTTATATAAAAGGATTAATTAGAGTTTATTTTATATAGCATTTAAGTTATGGGTGAACCTATGCGTTATGTTAAGAAAATACTTTCCGTCAAATGATCTGTTGTGTGAAAAAAAAATGACAAATTTAAAATCCCCAAACTTTATAACAATAACTAGTAATCCGTAATTTTATAATTTAGACTTTGGATTCTGTTATAAGTTTAATACATTCCCTTTGAAAATAAATCAAAGGTTAGTTTTCTTAGAAAAGTAAATTATTTTTTAAGGTACAGTAAGACCCCGCTTAACGCTGTTTCGTTTAGCGCTGTTTCGGTTTAGCGCTCTTTTATTTCAACCCGGGGATTCCACGAAATCGCTCGCAGCATACGGGGATTCCCCGAAATATTATGCAGCGATAGGTTTCAAATACATATCCGAAAGAGTGTACTTGTATTTCTTGTTTGGTGCGGTATTGTACAGACATATTTTGAAGGGGTAAATGTGGAAGATGTCGAAGAAATAATTCAAGAAGCAGCGGCTAGTCTTTCTAATGATGAGCTCAAGGAATTAACTGAACAAGAAGAAAACAAAAATGTTGACAGCAGTGATTCAGAAGAAGAGCAAAAAGAACTTTCGATGGCGTTTGTAAAAAGGAGTTTGTCTACCATAACTGAAATAATGGATCAATTCATTGAAAATGATCCGAATTTTGACAGGAGCTCAAAAGTAAGGCGTGGTGTTAGAGATGCTCTATCCGTTTATGAAGAACTTTTAAGAGAACAACGCAAAAGAAAAAGGCAAACAACATTAGATGCTTTTGTCACAAAAAGGCAGAACACTGAAAACGCGGAAGGCTAACTAAATATGACTGACTTAGAATTTTATTTGTTTTTTTTTTTAAGAATATTCGTTTTGTTATTTATATTTTGTTTTTATTTTTGCAAGAAATAATAATGTGGTATTAATTTGGGCTTTAAGAAATAAATGTTTGGTTTTATTTTTATTAAAAAAACATACTTTTTAAATTTAATACCTAACCAATTTCCTAGCCATCTTCCCCTAACCCCAGTATTTACATGTAAAGATAGCCTCGTTTAGCGCTGTTTCGCATTACGCTCTGCTTTGATGGAACGTATCCCCCGCGTTAAGCGGGGTCTTACTGTACTAAGGAAATGAAGTTTTTAAAATATTTAAGTAAAATGTAACAGTTACTATACTAAAAAGACAGTTAAAAAAAGATACGGAAAAAAATATTAAAAATTACTCCCGAAGAGTACTTTACCTTGCTGTAAACAATAAACTGATTTTTCATTGAAACAAATTATTTAAAAATCATTTGCTCTTAAATAAGAATTGGAAAAAATGCCTTGCCTTGCCATGTAAAAACCCAAAAGTAATTTAAGTGATTTTTATCGATGGTGTTTGTGACCAGCGATGTATAAAATTCAACATTCTATAGAATACCTGCCGAAATTAGCCAGCAATGTATGAAAAGATTAACATTTAACACACTTCCTAGGATTTCTATAGAATGCCAAATGACAGACTGGCAAAGTATGAAATAACCAAAAGAATGAAAATGAATTCGGGGAAAAAAAAATCACTGTGCTTCTTTGAGAACTACTGTGCGAGTTCCTATTCCTAACGTTGACAAAGGACGAGGTGATTCACGTAATATATTATTAGTTGTAATGAGTGTGACAGATGATGGTTTTTACCGACTTTTGAAGGAACCGTTTCTACCGAACTTCTGAAGGAATTTTGAAGTAATTGCATGTAAGATTACAATTTACTTAGAATTGAAGACATTCCTAAGCAGGAAACTCCTCTCTCGTCAATTTTAAATCCAGCGGAAGCGGCAAGCGTATCTGTAAAACACAGTGCCAAAATTTGAAATGCCTTTGCGTGAAAAAAGTAATGAAATGTAGTTCAAAATATCACTCAAGCTACGCTGCAACTAGATTAATTTTTATCTGAATTTTTTTAAATTAAGAAGGGCATAAATTTTGCTTTTACAACTTTCTGTTTTCTTTATGTATTTTGAATTAAAGTTTTGTAATGGCACTTTTTCGTTATTCTTTCAAATCGTAATTTAACGAATGTATGTCTTTTAAATAATAGCATTATCATCATTCATACTTTGCCTAAATAGCATTTGTCATTCTATAGAATGTCTGCGGAAAGTACATAATAATTCTCATGCTTCATACTTTGCCTAAAAACGTCAGGCATTCTATAAAATGCCTAGGTATTGTAGAGAACACCGGCGTCCGATAACACTGTATTTGGACACACTGGCAGCAAACCGTGAACAGCACAATTTCGATGAAATTCCACAGAGAGATTCAGTCATTAGTATTGGAAATGGAGAGGAAATTCTAAAGAAATTCCAAGATTCTTATCGGATAAATTTCAGATGATTCAGAATTTTCCCTGAATTTTAACGGATAGTTTTAGTAAAATATCGCTTTAGTAAAAGTCTTTGTAAATATGAGAATTATTATTCTCGGAATCTTAAACAAAATTAGATCTTGAAAACATGAGTAAAAGTTTTGAACGCGATGGATGACAGCCATTTGTATATAGTGAATAAACACAATCGATGGTTAGACGTAGCTCAGGTAACTGTCAGTCAATTAGCGAATAAGAAAACTTTAACAACATGGACTATCGTCTTATTTGTCATCGCAAGAAAGTTCGAAATTTAATTCAAATTAAAGAAGATCAATTTTTTAGCACAGTTAAAGTAGAATAATACTCAAGTCAAACGAGATACTTTTAGCTTACTGAAACGTAAAATAAGAAAAACTGAATTTAACAGGAGAATAAATGTGGAAATGTGTTTTGAGCGCTGATTTTAAAGCTGATTATATAAAATATTCAATAATTCATACATCAACTTACTAATAGTAATCAAACAAAAAGCTGGTGATAAAATATTAATTGCCTTAATCAGAAAAGGCAAAATGGCAAAACAAATTAAAACCTGTTAGACTAAAATTGCAACAGCGAATTGTTAAGTA